AGAACTGATTTCAAACAAGAACATAATAATGTCCACATGAACAAAAACTTAGCTTGCAGAAGTTCATCATTATGCTGAAGAAAGACCCACATATGCACCGTATAAAATCAACACGCTTGCAATAACATACGAAACGGCCACAATCGTAGGTTCTTTAATTCCACATAACTCGAGATGGTGATGTAAAGGTACCGCTCGGAAAAGCCTGTAACCCCTTAGCCGAAAGTATTTGGTCGTTTCGGAGAAGGATGCCTAAAATGTACGGTTTTGAATGTAGCAAGCACCGAAAATAAACAAACAAAAAGAAGTTCAATAATAATAATTGTACAGTTCATATTCCATACCTGCATAATAACCGAGAGTGCTTCCAAGAGAAATATTCCCGAAGAAATGAACAATGGCAAAAACATTCCCGTGCAAGAGGCCATGGCTGCAAGGGCCCCACCTAAAGCCAAAGCCCCGGCTTCGCCCATAAATATAGATGCCTTGTATCGGTTTTGGGAAAGAAAACCGACACATGCCCCAGCCATTGATGCTCCAAATATAGAAAGGTCTGGATTTGGGTACGAATGAGTGTACTTTTTAAGATTTCAGAATTAAATCCTAGTGTATTTAATTTAAACGTTTTAAGACTTTTAAAAGTCTTGAAGTATTGGTTTAAGATTTTAAAGTCTTACAAAAATCTAAGGTATTTGACTTATTTGAGACTGAGATTTATTAAGAAGTTTTAAGATTTGTTCGGATTTCAAAAGAAAAAAATCATATATGAAATCTCACTCCAAATTCCATCTCAAGACTTAAGATTTCGCAGGATTCCTAAAAAAACTGAAAATCTTAAAAAGTCTCAAATCTCACAGTTTCAAAATGCCACTCGAAATCTCAAACGAACACACCCCTTAAGATTTCACGAATTTGAAAATCTTAAAAAATCTCAAATCTCAAAGTCTTAAAATATCACTCGAAACCAAATAAATACGCCCCCGTAGATTGTAGAAGGCATAAGTTATTTCCTGATTGTAATATTAAGCGGCGCAAAATATTAAAAAGAATAATAAAATTATAATACCGGAACATATTGGAAGAACCACAATGGACATCCCAATAAATGCTAATGCAGCAGTGCCCGCGGCCAATCCATCAAGCCCATTGGTTATATTCATACCATTTGCCATGGAAACAAAACATAGTACGGTCAAGATTGGGTAGAATTTTCCCAGGCAAACAAGGCCTATAGGCGCAGGCAAGGGGACAACCATTTTCCTGGCACAAACAACATTGTGTATATCAATAATATAGATTTAATATAGAAAATCTATTATCAGTGTAAGAAGTCATACGACCTAACACATCACTCACGGTGCCTTGTCAATTTCAAAGGTTGATATAGCAAAAATTTCCCACAAACATTTTTAAGTCGTCACTAGACAAATACTTTAGCATACCTCAGAATGAGCTATGTTTGGTAAACCTAGGTGTTGATAGTAATAAGTTAGTTAATACCTTATAAGTAAATTTCGAGGTTACAAGAGATAGTTTATAGCTTATGGCTGAAAAACTAGTGACATAAAATTTTCAATGGGCTTATTTGAAAAGCTACCCAAAGAAGCTTACGAGATAAATTCGAGATTTTTAAAAAAGCTCGTCTAACCATACCAAACTTATTTGGATAAGGAAGCTTATAAACTAACGAAATAAGCTATAAGCTAGCTTATGGTGCGTACCAAACACACTCTAAGAGAGAGGCCCAGATTAAGCTCTAGTCGCCATGATCAGATTATGACACAAGTTAAAACCTATAACTTGGGGGCAACGTTCATCATTAGCGATCAATAAAGCTTTATCCATTACTTCATGCAGATGACGCATTAAGTCGACAGGGTTATAATAATAAAATTCACGGCGATAGAAGGATCTCTTCAAAACCACCATTATAAACCAATTGATAATTTTCCCCCATAAACATAAAATGTATGAGTTACCCTTTTAAAAACAAGGGTCGATCAAATTAGTTTCTAGAGAATATACATGCCGTAGGGTGTTGACACGTCCGTTCTGTACAGCCAATAGGAGAAACACATCCCAACAGCTACCTGAGAAGCAACAATAAAAACCATAAAGCATACAACAAGCAAAGTAAATATACAATATATATATTTATTGAGATTGAAAATGAGCTTCATGTTCACCTCCAACGAAACTCTCACCCAAGCACACAGACCATCATTTCTATTCTTGATTCTCAAGTAATCATCCAATAAACCAATTGCAGCAAATGCTATAGTTGCTACAGCCACTCCCGAAACTTCAATGGAAGAAAAACTTAGTACAAATTGTGCAACTAAGAGGCCAGTAGGCACAAAATAAAGCCCTCCCATAGTCGGGGTCCCTTTCTTTGAAGGGTGCCGAATGTGCCCTTTTTTCCTAACCATAGACCTTATCTTCAACATATGGAACAACGGTACGCAAATGTATCCCACACAGGAAACTGAAATCATTGATATCATAAAGGGCCGCGTCAAATAAAAAGGCGCTAGAGGCAACCTCACAATCCTCCATGCACACTGGTCCACGAGTAAAAGAAGGAATATCGAGAATGAGATTAATCCAAGATTGTTCAGGATTCCGTAGAGAGTCCTTTAAGCACAAGAAAATGGAAATAATTTAGCTAGTTTGTGACTTGAAAGTTAAATTTTTCGATTCAACTGCAAGAGACTGAAAGTAAGGGGAATCATGAGATATATATATCAGTACGCGAAATAAGAGACCCTTGTGAAATGCGCAACAATAAGACACCAACTCAAAGTCAAGAAACGGAAATAATTAGCTAGTTTATGACTTAAAAATCGTATTTTTCGATTCAACTGCAAGAGACATTCAAGTAAAGGGGAATCGTGAGATATATATCAGTACACGAGATAAGAAACCCTTGTGAAATGCAAAACAATAAGACACCAACTCAAAGTCAAGAAATGGAAATAATTAGCTAGTTTATGACTTAAAAATCAAATTTTTCGATTCAATTGCAAGAGACACTCAAGTAAAGGGGAATTCATGAGATATATATCAGTACACGAGATAAGAGAACCTTGTGAAATGCACAACAAAAATACACCAACTCAAAGTCAAGAAACCGAAATAATTAGCTAGTTTATGACTTAAAAATAGAATTTCTCAATTCAACTGCAAGAGACATTCAAGTAAAGGGGAATCATGAGATATATATCAGTACACGAGATAAGAGACCTTTGTGAAATGCACAACAATAAAGACACCAACTCAAAGTCAATATGGGAATTTACTTTCTTTTTGTCCGTGTTCTGCCGAGGGTTGCAAGACGGTGTGCAGCTACTGTTATGGAGTCATCGGCTGGCAAAAATCGCTCCTTTGAGATTGGCAAATCGACATCAGTTATCGGCTGAAGAATAGTTTCCCCGTCACTGCTTTCACCATCACTCGATGAATACATATATTCAACCGGTCCACCGTTTTCCCCCCAGTTGTCATAGAACGAGAATGAATCCTGAATATCAAGCAAAACTCAGTTATTTTGCACTAAAATGGACATAAAACCTATCAGATTAAACCCTTGACACTCCATCAATTCAGACGATATATCTAGATTTAAACAAATTCAGCCTCATTTCGCAATGAAACTAAAATGGGGGGAAAACGGAAAGAAAAATAAAAAAAGGTGTGAACTTGAATACACAAATCGAATCAATGGCTTACATCGTCCACGGCACGAACACGAAGAACTCCACGCCGTACGCGAAAACCATACCCACAAACCCTTGATTCAAATAACTATCCCAATCAAAAGAAAAAAAAAAACAAAAAACAAAAAATTCGTCTCAAAAGTAAGAAAATATAAATCATTTGGAAGGACACAGGTAATTACAAAAATAAGAGAGCTCAATTTACCCTTCGATCGATCGCAAAGCAAGAGCAGCTAGTGATGCCTCGGCAATCAAATGAGACGCACGACGCTGGGGCGCGGAAACTGGAAGAGATACGAACAAAAGACTCGAGCCGATTGAGATTTCTACTGTTCGTGGCGCATAAAGAATGAGATTGCATGGCTATACGCGCAAAGAATTTAAGAATGGCTCATCGTCATTGACCTTCAAAAATATGCACAGCTGAGTGAAGTTTTCTTCAGGTGAGTAGTTTTGAGAGGAAATGCCAAACTTTATGAGACCTTCGAAAGCAACGACATCATAATATATAGTACGGAAAGAATCTGACGCGCACCTGAAGCGCGTGAGTAATCTTTTATGGCACCGTATACGAGTTGAGTTGAGCTCGAGCATAGAGTGCTCGAGCCTTTAACGAGCGGAGTCGAGCTCAACTCGGTAAATAAATGAGTCAGAAATTGAGCTAGAGTTTGATTTGTTTATCACTATTAACGAGTCAAGTTTGAGTCTTAACGAGTCGATCTCGAGCTTTAATTAATCGAACTATAGAAAATTATATATAAACTTTCTTTTCGAGTCTTATCGAGTCGAGTCGAGCATGACTCGTTTACCAAACAAGCTTTAAATGAGCTCGAGCTTGGCTAACGAGCCGAGCCGAGCCGAGCCAGACTCGTTTAATTTAACAACACTACTTAGACATGACCCTTTATCGGTTCAGGCTTATATTTTGGTCAATTTAAAACCGCCGGTTCCGATTCAGAACCTGCCCGAACCAATAAATTAAAAAAAAATATTACTAATTTCAAAAAAAGAATAAAAAAAAACGTCGAAACGTTGGTTCCGGTTAGAAATCGGATCTGACAAATCAAATTGTGAAAAATTATGAACCTAAACTGACTCGGGTAAAATGACGGGCCGATTCAAGACTGTGGTCCACGAGTCTAACCGAGCCGATTTGGCCCGCAGATATGTCTAGCCAATGTACATAGCAACGGTGAGTTGTCGAGCTAAATTCAAATCTTAACATTAAACATTTATATAAAACTTATATTTTTCAAGTTAACTCAGGGAGCCATAAATAAAATGACTCACAGTCAAGTTTACGAATGACTCGTTTCCGCTGTATAAGTGCCAATAGGTTAGAAACATTTTTTTTTCTTTTTTTGTTAGATTAATTTAGAGATTTCCTTCCAATTGGAAATTGAGGAACTATTGATGAAAATTCCCGTTATTCTGGTTCTGGAGTCAATGAGATTCAAGAACTAGAGGATATGAAATGAAACTATGATAGTAGTTTTTCAATTATTTAATCGGCACGCGTAACATGTGTAACGACCAGTTATATAAGTTTACATCCCTTTATCTTGAAGCTTGAGAACATTCTTTATTTGTCTTGTCTTAGCCTTTTGCCTCCGAATCTCCATTGCCACAAAAAATCCTTAAATAACAATATCTTACACATAATCATAACTTCACCATACAAGCATCCTCAATACGAGGACCCAACCACCAAAAACTAACATGGATTATATCTTGGATCATTAATCAAGGTGCAAGGATATACCTTAAGCAATCACACTTTTCCCAAATTACCTTAAGCAACTTTTAATATTACAAAAGCAATCAACACACATTGCACAATGCTGTCGAGAGTTGGAAAAGTAGCGCGCATTTTTACACACGGAGAAAGTATTTTACTTTTAACGGCATAGATTTACTCCATCAACAAAGCTGAGACTCAATTGTCCGCCAAGGGCCGACCTCTGCCCATCACGAATCCTCTGGTCCCGTCGGGCATTCTAGGTCCCGGTGGTGGTTTTGATGGTTCTTTTCCATGACTCGAAAATTGAGTCCCGTGGCCTGAAAGTGAAATTATAAAACGAAAAAAACAATTAACTCAAAGATTTGAACTGTCTTCTTCTTTTGGTTTGGTAATCGAGCCGAGTTCGAACAACAAATTAGGCTCGTTAAATAATCGAACGAACACGAGCTCGTTCGCGAACATTAATTTAATATAACTTTATCTTTTTTATATATAGTTATTTACATGATATTTTTAATAATACATCTAAGACATAAAAAATATTTTAATTTTATTTTTCTATTTTCGAGTTCGGACGAACAAATTTCGAGTTAATCAAACATATTTAAAAAGTTTGTCTTAAATTAATCGAACATGAACGAACTCGAAAGTTCGAACAATTAAACGGACGAGTTCGAACACGATTTTTTGCTCGAAAAATAAACAAATGAACACGAGCTCGAAACGCCCAAGCTCGGTACGTTCGGTTCGATTACAACACTAGTAATAGGGGGAGAAGTTATAATAACATGAACTTACCATGTCCATTTGTGACATGGTATTTCTGTCTCCTTCCACGCCCTCGGTTTCGACCTTTGTGTCCATTTTTCTCTTTTGATACATGATCCACATCCTAAATGAGAAACAGAGAGAGAAAAAAAGATAATAATAATAATATATTAATTTCATCATTACAAATTATTACAGAGCAAATAAAAAGTTAAGCAAGCAGATCTATGGTAAGATGTACCTCTTCATCGTGTGAATCTTCGCGTTGTTCACTCGTATGGTGATTCTCCTCATTTCCGGCTGGTTCCAATATTTGAGAACTGCCCCTCTCTGGCTCTGATTCCCTCCATATTTTTTTCTTCTGCTGGCTTGTCTTGTTCTGTAGGATCAGAAGAAAATAAGGTATAAGCTTTACTATATTGTGGAATCACATATGTATACATCGGAGAATGGAAATTAGTATAAATACCAATTTCTTAAGTAGCTTGACCCGCAATCCATATCTCCAATCTTGTTCATTGTTTAAAGTGGCCACCTAAAACGGAATTTTGATAAAATTAACTGGCAAAAAAATAATGATAAAAAAAGTTGTTTTCTTTTTTCCTTTTTGTGTGCATGGTAGGGATATGAATATGGACTTTCACACTCACAGCTTTCTCTGCAGCCTCCACAGTGTCGTACTCCACAAGAGCATGCAACTTCAGATCAAGACAGATGGAAATAGAAATAAGATTAGAAGAAACTGGCATAAATATAAACATTGATTTCTACTGTAGCCACTTATCGACAATTATGTGCCTACATCCTTGAGCTCACTTGGCAGTTCCAACAAAATAGACCTCTAATACTACCAACAATGTCAGTTAAATGTATAGAGTTTGTAAGTCCAGTTCATTCCAATATCTACATTTTCTCACATTTCCTATTGTATGCCAGTTTATAAGGAAAGCAGAAAATGAAATAATGAAATATAATAACAATAAATCAACACCCATTATATAATAACACGGACATCTCGATGGTTTAGTGTTATGCTAACAAGACTTGAGAACTGGGACTTGAATACTTGAGTCCAATTAGAGAGAGTATCAAGAGTTCAATTGAAAATCACACTTCCAACGATCCATGACTATTTAAATACTTTTTTACTATTTTTTTCAATAAGTATATGCTATTTTAAGTTTATTATATGAAATTTCACAAGCACAATATGAGAAGTACAGTTGGCAACTTCAAGTTTATTTTTCTCGTGTAGTCATATTCAAGAACTTTGTTCATATAATACATAAAGGAATAAAGATAAATCAAATTGAAGCACACCTTTCCGCTAATCAGCTTCTCTGCAATAGTGCACTTCTTAGGATCTCTGACATCATTTGGTTCACGAATGGTAATATTTTTTATGCTAGCATCCAAAGCAAACATACAATTACACGACTATAAAAGCTATCATCACAGCATATACGATGAAAAATAAAATGCCTCACTTTCCAGCTTCACCAAACACATGGCGAAGGTTCTCTACCGAATGATCCGTTGGCAGGTTCTCCACCAATACAGTGCATACCTAAGGGTAATACATTTATTTTGATAATTGTTACGCAGTAACAGGTAAAGAGCATCAAACTCATCAAGATGAAAATAGTACCATAGGGTCCTTGATCTCAGCTAACGGAAGAGGATGAAGTCGCTTCACCTTTTTCCCGTTGGAGCTAACAACCTGCAATTAAACAGGGAGATAATGGCCAGTCATAAAGGTAAAAATGGCAGAGTGGGATGGAGAACTGTGTTCCTCTGTTAAAAACCTAGCAATGGTACTTGCTGACAGGTCTATAATAATTTCATTTTGTATTCTTCGGGAACTTACAAGGAAAGTAGATTCCTTTAGTGCAGCCACAATCAATGCCGTATCTCTTGTGAGCTTCTTCATTTTCCTAAAAGAAGCAATAACTCCAATAGGAACTGCAGAAAAAGATTGTTATTTCAGACGGTAACAGAACCATCAGGGACAGAATTCTTAAAAAAAATGCTTGATGAAAAGCTTCCTAATTGGTAAAAAGGTGAAAAAAATAATTATAATGATGTTTCATTTATGAAAAGAAAGAAAAAAACTAACTATCACATGAATGAGAAAGTTCTATGTATATGCTTTGAACAAGGCTAATACTCGTCTATGTCTTGAACATATAACACTAAATATGTTTGCTTTTCCAGTACAAACTAGGTGTGATTCAACTTTCAAACACACATGTATGATATGCTATCAGAGAATCATTGATATTCTGAAATCCAATAGGCTAATGAAAGAAATGTTATTTTTCATAACATACGTATTAGTTTATGCTGGCATTAGGCACAGACATTCAATTCCATTTAAATGTCACAACGAATTCCAGCAGAATGTAATTTTGGTGGTAAAACAATATAGCATTTTTTACTTAAACTATGTAAGATGAAGAACTCCATACTGCCAGCAAATCAATAAAACATAATTAAATGGGTTTTTGCTTTGTAGCTACATAATTATAAAGGAAGGAGTAGAACAGTCCTCTACTCACCAAACCCTTCCACATTTTTCGTAACATAGTTCATCAAAAACTTGTCAGTAGGCAAATTTTCGTCACCGAAGTAATATTCCACCTGAAAATAGAAGAATCAAATAAGCTATAGGCTTAAGATAAAACTAGTACACACTTAAAAAAAAGATATGGCAACTGACAGGTAAAGTATGCTACAAATCCATTAACAACTCAAGGACATCACAAAAGGTATACGACAAAGACACCAGCCTGGTGGAGAATTAATACTTCAAAATCATCACTAAGGAAATACTGGCCACAAGCCCATGTACCTTGCTATGAGAATGCTGCTGCATTCAGCATAAAACATACACTTTTAAAAAGGTTTAGCTAACAACAAAATGCAGAGAAGAAATCCCCACCAAAAACAAATCTCAAAACAACATATTTCCAGAAAAAGCACGATTCAAGGATTTTACAGGTCCTACATACATGCAAATGTCCATTCATCTGAGCAAAACCCTCACACTCCACCTACACTGTACCGATTCAATTGTTCCGGCAACATTCAACAAACGTGAATCATACTTGCACAACTTTCTCCCAAAATTCAATATTGATCCAACCTTTTAAAATTAACGCTTATACAGCTGGAAAGAAGAATCTGAATCCAAAAGGGCAAATACTGAGCTAAGCTAAACCAACTAAAAGAAAATAACTAGTAGCAGCTCAAATTCAAACCTATATTACCACTAACAGCCTCCTCTATCCATCAACAGATCAAGCCGATAACTCGTACGTTACTAGTACCAAATAATCAGAACAAATCCGTACGCCCCAAATTTCTTCTCTCAACCCGAAACTCGATCAATAACAAAACGCACGAGAAGAAGAGCAAAAAGGTAGATTAGCTACCTGCTTAATAATCCTGCGACGGAGATCCTCTGAGACTGCACCGGACTCGGATTGATCCGGCGGCGACGGAATGTCCGAACCGGTGAGCTCGGGGGACCCGACGGGCGAGAAATCGGGCCGATCCTCGTCGTGATCGAGATCGTGATCGGACGGCGCGGGTGAGGAGGTGGGGATAGGGGTCCCGCCGTGCTCCGAGGGAGGTTCCATCGGAGGAGAGAGGAGAGAGAAAGACGAAGCTTCGGCAATGGAGAAAGGTGAGTAAACCCTCCCGCTCTTTCTGGTTTTTCTCTCTCCTGATCTCTCGAAGGAGATGGTTTCCGCGAGATGGGTCAAATATATAGGTCGTAGGTCAATGGTTGGGTGGCAGACAAATATATTATAAGATATTTACTTTTTTTTTACCTGATGTCCGCGGTAAAAAAGTTGGAATGGGGGTCAATTTATTTTCATCTTCCACATATTTTATAATCTTTTTCTTTTTCATTCATATTTTTTTTCATCTTCCACAATCCACATATGTTTTGAGAAAAAATGGATAGTGGATAGTCAAGAATAATATGTTTTGAGAAAAAATAGATAGTGAATATGAAAAAACGTAGTGTATTTATTAGTTAGATGAGGATAATAATGGAAAAATATGTAGAAAATAGCCAAAACGACATTTATTTAACAAATAATCAATTAAGCTAGAATGACAAATAATAAAAATAGGAGAGAGTATTTTTTATAGTTAAGAAGGATTAAAAAGGTAAAAAAAAAATACCCTTACCTTTCTCTAGCTTTATCAATAAAATTACATGAAATCAACTATCAAGGTAATTGACAATCTTTACCGAGCTTCATAAGTATATTGAGCGTGAAAACTTTAGTAACTTTCACGATGATTTCATGTAATCATTTCATACAGCTATACATTATTATTCAAATAATATGAAGAACGATCCTCTATATATATTAATTCAAAACATGATGAGCATAAATAATTTATTCGCATGTTTCGGAATTCTACGTGACAAAATTATATGCTTCATTATTTAGCTTAGGTAAATTTTAATTTATCTCTAATCCAAACCATAAATATGTTGATTATTTATGGTCATGTTACATGTATTAATTGCATTGTAATCTCATTTCTTATTGTAAAAGTTAATAACTTTTGTATTTTTTTATCAACTTTACGTATATAATATATCAAATTACTTATCTCTTGATGAGCTTCGATTAAACATCCATATTGTATGTATAAAAAAAATAAATTATATTTTTCTTTATAACAATAATAAAATTATTTTTTAATATTAATGAAAAAAATAAAATTTTTTCAATTAATATATTTATATTTCAAGTAGCTATATGATTTAAAAAAATTACCATAATATAACATATGTAAACGCACAAGTAACAAGTATCATTCTAAAATATATAATAATATATATTTCTTTGTGAAAAATTAGTTAATTCTTAAAACAATTTTTCTCATTAATTTTAAAAATTTAAGAATAAATTTTTTAACAACACTCATATATTAAAAGGCAAAAGCACACATGCACGGGTGTTGTACTAGTGAGTTCCTAAAGTCTAAAATATATGACACATCACCCAACAATTAGACAACTTTATCACAACTTTTGTGTGAGTTTACCTAATTGTTGAACCAAGAAACCTTAAGTAAAACCACAAATTCTTCTATGAGACGGCCTAATCGTTATTTACTTTGTTTTGCCACGCTAACTTGCCTCAATAGCATAAAACTCACGCCACCATTCAAAACGATCACCTGTAGTGGAGAAAAGATCTACACTAACACACCCATCACAAACCAACGGCAAGCAAACAGAAGGAATTAAAACACGAACCAACATAGCAGAACTAGTAGAGGAGCACAAGTAGATTGATCCGATTGACACTAACCAAGATGCTCGATCTATTATCTCTAAACCTCATAGAAATCGTCAAGTACAATACAACTACAAAACCGACACTACTAGTAAGTTCCATAATGGATCACAATGGGGAAGAAAACAAAAAAAGATGAAAATCGAAAGTGATCCAATTTATTAAAACAACACGCAAGTTTTAACTCACACCGGCTCACCAACGGGAGATTACACGCATCATAACCCAAGGGCATGAAGCATGATTGCATTTTGTGCATGCATCCTGTTTTCAGCCTGTGGGAAGACAATAGAGTTTGGGGCTTCGATAACGCCATCAGTAACTTCAGTACCCCTCTCAGCAGGTAAACAATGCATGAAATAGGCTTTTGGACCAGCCAGCTTCATTAGCTCCTCATCCACCTACGAATAATTTGTTCCAGAATGATTTAGAAAATCCGAGATAAGATATGGAACTACAAACATTTTCGAGGTTATGACTTCGAAAAATGTATTTTCTTGAAAGAAACAGGTCGGGCGTGTTCCTATCCCCCTTCCTTTTTCATTACTGGATGGATACCCAACACGACAAAATAAACTTAAGCTATGGCTGACAAGATTGCTATGTATGCCCTTAAGTGCGCAGTCGATTGTTCATTCAAATTCTCGCAACAACAACAAAAAAAAAGAAGAAAAATGACTTGAAGGATAAGATAAAACGTATAGCCAGTCAAAGGCAAATCGCTCAACATAAACAAATGGACAACTCTTATATTAAACTGCTGCAACTATAGCCCAGATTTGGCAGCTTGCTACGCATATTTTTTAAGGAAGCAAAGCAAGAGTTAGTGAAGATAGGCCAAGCGAGTAAGGGAACAAGAAAAAGCAAAAACATGTTTCCAATAACCAAATTATCTATTCAGAATTGAATTCATCTAGAACCTGTCAATGTCCCACTTGGTTTAACTTATTTTATATACCTGGAATCCCTGAAAAACTTCACGGCGGTATTCAGCTTCTTCCTTCTGTCCCATGCTAGCCCAAACATCTGAGTAGACAACATCAGCTCCCTTCACAGCTTCTTTTGGGTCATTAGTTATTTCTATCTTGCTGACTCCAGCCTTTATTGCCCTTTTAGCTGTCCTTACATCAGGTTCAAAACCTTTAGGACAGGCACAAATGAAGTGGAAAGGGATCACAGATGCCAACATCAGCCATGAATGCACAATATTGTTCCCATCTCCAACATATACAACCTGAGTATTTTGTCAACATATAACCACAAAACAAATCAGACAACTATAACTCCACAAAACACATTAGATAAATGCTTAAGATGGATTTACCTTTGTTCCTTCCAGGTGACCAACATGTTCGATGATCGTAAGTGCATCAGCCATTATTTGACAAGGATGGTTGAAGTCTGTCAAGCCATTGATTACTGGAACAGTGGCGTTCTTAGCAAGATCAACAATGTCCTGCAAAATGAGATATGAGTATATATTAAAAAAAAAGATTGCACTCATGCTTGTAGTTAAATAACTGGTGTAGCCAGTCACTATATGTGACCAGCAAACTGGAAAAGAAACTTGATATGTTGTTCTAACTGTCCACTTGTTCCAATTAAAAACAACATGAATTGAATGAATAAAATCGGATGGGTCTACGCCCGCAAGAGATGCTGATCAGTCCTTCTTATAGATTAATGTATCAGGCAAAAGGATAGTGAACTCCAGATAATTATCAGAAGGAACCAGTTTGCCAAACCATGATCTAGATAATTAGTATTTATAATAGAGGGACTCAAGTATTATACACAAATTCCATAATATAAATCATGCTGTATATATAAGGAAAAGCAAATGAAAATCAGATGATAAGTCCATGTTCAATAACATAAATGATGCAAATATAAACGGTTTATATACAGATGTGAGCATACCAAGAGAAAGGAACGTAGTTTTGACTTTAAAATGCACGATTATAATCCATTAAATCAACTGCACTCACTTGTCACGTCCTCACTTGAGAACTCAGCAGCATACCTGATGTGCAAAAACTCGAGCCATAATGATATCATTATAGCGAGAAAGAACACGTGCAACATCACGGGTTTCCTCCCTCTTGCCCATCTGGATGTCATTAGGTCCCAGATACAGGGCATGCCCTCCCAGCAAATGAAACCCAGTCTCAAATGAAACTCTCGTCCTCATGGATGGCTTTGCAAATATCATCGACATAGTTTTGCCTTTAAATGGGAGATATGTCCTGTCTCCTGATTTAATTAATGCTTTGACCTCCTTGGCTCGATCTAAAATCTTGAAAATTGTGTCCTTGTCAAAATCATTAATGTGAATAAAATCCTTCAAACCTGCTTCCGCTGAAACATCAACATTTGCAAATTTGCCATAGTTGTGTTAGATAGCCAATCTAATGAGGCCACATCAAAGTCATTGGATCCTGTAGTTAGAAGTATGCACACAAATGGCAATGATAGTATAAAACACTACATGTAATGAAAAATGCAATATAGCTAGTGAAAATCGTATTTCCATAAATAAAACATGATTGCTTTATCCATATGATGTTTGCCTACTCTGACACTTAAGACATCACTGTACAAGAGTTCCTCCATCAGTCAAATGAATAATATACAAATTCCTTCTAAGCAAAATTAAGAACTTCACAAATATGTAGCTACAGAATATGCCCCAAATCTTTTCAAACAAAATCTCTTCAGAAACGAAACACATTCCTCAATCCCAAGTACTAAACACTAACCAGGCTCAGCCTTATATTAAAGAGTTATACAAAAGAACAACAGTGCTCTTTACCTTAAATTTCAGATTATTAGAATATTAGTAATAGAAATTTGCACATCTAACGAGCTAATGATTTCAATTTTCAAGGAATCAGTGCAAGGTGAGCTCGATTGAGCGATCAATCAGAAATCATACATTATAAAAACCTCGATCGACATACTCAAATAATAAAGATTAAATGTAGCCAAAATGCCTGAAATTGAGCAGTAGCTATAAGATCCCCCATCCCCCAAACAACAAAATATTAGGATTGCGAAAGCAAAATAAGATCCTCAAACCTTTTCCATTAACAGAAGACGCCGGCGCAGAAGAAGCAACCTGGCACGAGATTCGTCGACGGATTGCCGGAGCAGATACCGATACGCCGGAGAATCTGCGAACGTTTTGACCGATCTTAGAAAGCGCGTGTGAGGAGGAGAGGGAAACGGAGTCCGGTGAGGAGAGGTGGCAAGAGATAGCCGCCGCCATCGGTTTCTCGGTGGTGCTGTGCTCGCAGAAGAGTGACTGAGAAAGGAGAGTAGGTCAGATGAGCTGCTTTGACGTGCAGCAGCCACTTGATATAAATACTTTAGTACACGTGTCCAATTTCCATATTTATCATTATTTAGAGTTTAACCCCATTTTAGAATAAATTATATCAAAAAATTAATTTTAGATCATTCATGCTATATTTTACTCTATATGTTATATATGTAGTCTTAGTTATTTTAAATTCTTCTTAATATAAAAATGTAATTTAATTACACATTATTTTTCACGACAAATATTTACTTTTTTGAAATATTGTTGATACTCAAAATATTACATCTAAAAATAATCAAACAATATAAAAAAACCAAAAAAACTTAATAAAAAAAACGTGGAGTCATAAATAGTACACATTAAAGATAATACGATAAAGTCGGTACAAATTCACAACTTTTTCATAATTGAACCACCGGTTCCGATCGGCAAATTTAAGATTTGATTATTCTCAATTATTTTTTTTTTATTTTATTGTTTAATTTGCCGGTTCTAAATTATGAACCGTCAGCTCCGCGAACCCCAACCTATTTATATACCCGAGCAGGTTCTGGTTCACATAAAATGAGAAACGAACGAACTGGTTCCGAACCGGAACATGCAATTGTCCAGATCATTGCAATACTATTCACAACTCTACAACGGGATATGATTCTTAATTCTAGAACATTGTTGAAATGTTGCACAACATTGAACTCATGTTATCTAAATTCCAAGCCAAACTTACCAACATTTCATTTATATCATAGATAAAAACCACAACATTAAAACACCAAAAAACCAAAGGAGAAGCTCGGTTTATCCTACACTCCCCCTTTTGCCCCCAAAACATCTTCCAATTTCCAACCTAAACCAAAACCACAAACTGATATCCCAACATAACCAATCCTAATCCCAACATTAATCCCCAAACCCCAACCCGACCCGACCCAGACTGCTCGACCCTAACATCATCCACCACAGGCCCACACAACGAGGTCATGTCATCACTCCTCGTGTTGTAATAAACGCTGTAGAACGCGACACGTGTCCTCTCCGCCTTGGCCGTGAAATTCACGCCCGCTTTTTGAAACGTCGAGTTAAAGATAGGCGTGTAGTGCACGCTCTCCGTTTGGTCCCCGGCAAAGGCTATAACGGCAAGGGGCTGTCTGCAGGCATCACCAGCTGGGCCCAACGAGAAGCTCAGCCTGTAAGGCTTATTGGGCCTCGTGTCCACCATCTGCGAAATGATGCCTTCCTTACCGGATAATAACTCGATGGCCCGTTTACCGGTGGGCACGGTGAAGTGGTACGAGTCGACATATCGGACGGCCCGGTTAGACTCGACGATCCAGCCCGGGAGAGAGGAGGTGTCGCCGTCGAGATTGGTGGGGAGGAGGACACCGAGAGACTCGTTTCTGAACATCCACGGGCCTTCTTCAAAGTCTCCATTGACGACGGCATTGCCTATTAAAGGGAAATTTCGAGCAAGTTTTAGGAGACTGGAGAGTGTGTTTGGTAAACACCATAAGCTAGTTTATAGCTTATTTGGTTAACTTATAAGCTTCCTGTATACAAATAAGATTTGGTTTGGTAGGACGGATTTTTTCACAAAACTTGAGTTTATCTCACGAGCTTCTTCTTTGGGGTAGCTTTTCAAATACCCGTTGAAGTTTTTATTTGAACTAATTTTACCAAACACTTTTAACATATCAGCTAGCTTTCAGCCAAAAGCCATAAGCTAATATCATGCTAGTTTTACCAAACATAGTCTTAGTAATAGTTTTATGAAAAAGGTTGTGAAATAATAATTGTCCAGGAACCTTCTCTCAACATTTAACCTAACATACACATAGGTTTAGTGTGCAAGTTCACAGACATTTTGAGGTATAAGAATAATTGTCTACCAAACTCTTCCTCAAAATCCTAAATTAGCTAACCAAACATATGAAATCTTAAGACTTTCTGTGGTGAAATTTGTAACTAATTCTCCAGTTTTAGCTCAAAAAACTCACATATTTGGTAATGCATGCTTCAAATTTGTGACTCTTCGTGTGATTAGAATTGAAATGCAGGAGAAGAGGGTGCTTTACAATACAATCAGACTACTTAATTTGACTTCCTTTGACAAATAGATCACTTTTAATCGTCTTCAATAAACAGTCCATTGACCTGATCAATTTCCAAATTCCACTTGTCCCCAGTTTTTTCTTTATTTTTCAACTATGATTTCATATATGATATATGGATATGAAATTCACCACAATAACTCCGACAATTGGAGACAAAGAACTAATAAACTCACAGGATATTTATCCACTTTACCCCTATAAGCTCATTTTCTCGTAAAACTAATTAGGTTTCCATGTCTAAATTATCATCTTTCTTTCTTTAAAGGTCAAGCAACAGAACCACAATCATAATAACATTACATGGAAATTTCAGATAACATTAACAAAGCACAATAGATCAGTAAAATAACCGAACTAACCTTTGGGCTTATCAGGCACAAACAGCTTCTTGATAGCTACGTCGTCGATGACGGGCCCGCAGGCGGGGTCGTCCTCCATGCCGGTGTTCCGGAAGACCACGCGCGCGTCCTCCGACTGGGCCCTGAACGCCCACGCGTACGAATCCCAGCCCTTCACGCTGTACACGGTCTGCAGATCTATGGCCTGCGACGCGGGGGGGACGGAGACGTTGAGCGACTCGAGCTGGGCGCAGGTTCGGGCGGCGCTGAACGTGACGGAGTAGGTCGCGCCCTTCTCCACCTTCACCTCCTGGCTGATCTCGGCGTCGTTGCCCAGGCGCACGGCGTGCTCCCCCTGCGGCACGATGAGGATCATCGCGCCCTGCCGCTGGCCCGCCGACACCAGCTCCACCATACCGTCGGTTTTCCAGCCGGGGACGGAGATGGGGGTGTCGGAGATCGAGGCGTCCGCCGGGAAGCCTCCCGAGGGAGGGGTCTCGAAATCGCCATTGACGAGTGAGCCTGCGTAGAAAATCGAAAAACTCGAGTGATGGGGAAAATGGTTCGGATTGGGTTGTGGGCCTTCTGGAACTTGATTAAGATTTGGGCCCAATTGTTGGTGAGCTCTACAATTAGGCCCAACTGAAAGTTCTTAAACCAACTTGAGAAAATTATGAAATTATTACAACTATAATAACTTTTACTATTCGTAAATTTCTTATTTATGATTTATTTTTATCAATGATTTTAAATTGCAATGTTTTTTGGATTATGACTCATTTACAAATGCCTGATGGTTTTATTTGGAATGACCTACTAATAGATGATTTATTTATCACATCCAGCAAATTAATTGAATGAAATAAGATTATTTACATAATCCACTTTTATGAGGATGAAACTCTACCTAAAATTTGAAAAAACTAGCATTATTATTACTTAAAGGTCGGGCAAATTCAACGCTATTAGTGAGACCACTGCTTCACTGGATTTTAGTGTTAGATCACATAATCATACAGATGTGTTGGTTAAACGATAAAATATTATTCAATTATTCACACAAATATAGGATAGGGCCCATGATGATAATTTGTTTGAATTAAGATATAATATCCTTTCACGTGGATATATTGTGTCTGTGCCTAGAAATGACAAAATAACAAAACAAACATGGAATAATTTGGTAAAATTATTGGACCTATTTGCAAATCCAAGAAGCCGCGTTAAGACCAAAAACTTGAGACAATCTACTATGTTAGTGGCTGGCATAAGCATTTGCTTCTTAGCTGTTGGGCTCAGTAATCCATGACAATAATTCTCCTGTCCCACACACTTATTACATTATGTGAAATATCCCATAATTCGTTGAAAATAAAGTGCCAAATTGATGTAGCAAGAAGCTAGTGATGGGAATATGTGCAGAGGAAAAACGATGAACACAGAACAGTTTCTTTCATTTCATACCTGATAATAACTGTCATCTCACAATATCACGTAGATATTAATAATCTTATTAAATCCTAACCAACTAGACTAAAAACAACTCAAATAAAAGAAGTCCAACACACAACATAAATAAGGATAATAAATATAATAATATTCACACTAAAGATCGGAGTCGATCATGTATATCGAGAAACGCCAACGCACTCTCGTCGGCATCACAAATGATATGAAATGGGGAGAAATTCCTACTAATTAATGGATTTTTAATCGATGAATTAACACATATAGTAGGTCTGAGTATATTGATCTAACACTAAAAAATTCGGTCATGTACTCCAAAAATGGATATGTTTGAGTTAGGATCATGATATGTTATTGGTATGCAAGTTTAGTGCTAGTTATTGGTATGCAAGTTTAGTAGCACTAGACATGACTGCGGGCCAAACTGGCCCACTGGATTGCCTTGAATCGGCCCATAGTCAACGGACCTTGAACCGCTAACCTATTTTTTATTTTTATTTTTGCCTTCTTAATAAATTAATTATTTTAAATGAACCGACCCGACCCGAAACCGTACAACCCTTGGCCCAGAATCGGTTTTGGCCGTGTCCAAGTAGCACCGACATTTATATAGTTTCAATAATAATATTATAATAACATAATGCAAATTCAATTTTATCATTGTGCATTAATGTAACTTACTCTTAACTATCAATTATGATCTCATTCTCAACAAAACCCAGGAATCCAGTTTTGCTATGGAGCCAACAGTTGGCTCCATAGTGGAGTCAACCTTCTATATACATCAAATAAATTTACCATATTCTTTGATTACCTAAATAAAACTAATATAATTTTATGAATATGGTAGATTTATTTGATGTATATAGAAGATTGGCTCTACTATGGAATCAACTGTTAGCTCCATAGCAAAACCGCCCAGGAATCTAGCTATTACATCCACACAACATTGTGTTGCACTTTAAAGTCGTGTATCTATAATGTGTTGGTTGAGGGGGTTTATGTACTTTGCCACTCAAGTTTTGAGAGAGAGAGAGATAGAGACATGGGCTATTGAGACAATCAATTGATGTTAGGTTAGCTAATTATATTTTTTCGACACACATACTTTTAAGCTGAAATTTTGTACTCTAAAAATCAATATTAATAAAATTATGACATTTCATCACATAAATATGCCTTTTTTTAAAGTATAGCGAGTCGACCCTACTAAATCGTCTCACACATAAATTTGTAAAAAAACAAATATTCCTATCTCCATCATTAGGAACAATTATACACAATTAAGCCTTTAACTCACGCGTGCAGAGTTTTTAATTAATTATAGTAAAAACTTGAGAAGAATTGAGTAAAACAAACTCATTCAAACACAGGATCACACTTTCTTTGGTGAACATNGGCTCATACCATCTTCAATCAGTGAAGCAGAAGAAGCTGAGTAGGCCAATAGAAGCAGAAAAGCACAAACCCATTTGCATTTTGTTGAGTCCTTCAACATCTTACCGTCAAATCAAATCGTTCTGCTCTTTTTCTCTCTCTAAGTGTGTGAGTGTGGAGAAGGAGTGTAAAATGTGGAGAAGGGGAGAAAATTAGAGAGAGAAAATTTAAAAGGGGAGGAAAAAACAGAGTAGAGTAGTAAAGTGTGTCGCTTTATGCCACTTTTGAGAAGGGCCTCGTTTAATTTTTCCTTTTTTTACTCCTCTTTTGGGTTTTGTTTAGTATAGTTAGTACAATGGATTAGAATTTAGTTGGTGACCATTAGGCTAATATACTATTATATTATGTGCATGTTTTCATTAGAAAATGTCATACTTTATAAAATGATATAAATATAAGTATGATAATAAGTTAAGTATGCATTTTGTTCAAATAGTATAACAGGTCAATTCATCTGAATGTTAAATTGTTTCACATTAGAATTCGTGTTTTAGAATTTTAGTTGCAGTTCTTTGATTTTTGTGTAATTTTTGCTCCACAAATGTTAATTGATTTGAATATTTTTCCCAAAATTAGTATTTAGGGAGATAGTTTAGTTTAGCTTCAAGTGAGAAGTATACTTGTTAAGTATTGGGCTCTAAAGTTTTGAAAAAGTTTGTTTTAATTATTTTTAACCAATGTTTTAAAATCTGTGTTAAACGTTGGACACTACTTAGGTGTCCCAAACTTCGTTTAGGCTGTTTTTCTAGGTGCTCGAACAATTAAGTGTTGTTTAGTTGGTTGTAAAGTTAATTAGTCATTTAGGCTGATTGATGGTCTATGTGTCGACTTAGATGGTATCGAGTATATTTTTTTGTTGTATTTTAAGTTGTTTTTAATGTATAATAAAAATATGGTTTGATTTTTATACGTGAAAATTGTAATAATTATAAAATTAAATATAACAATTATGTTAAAATTAATATAATAGTAATAAATTTCTTATGTTTTGAAAGTTCTTCATATTTAACAAATTATTTCATATATTCTGTATAATTTATCTCGTGGGATATATGATAATAAATATAAATAAATTTGTTAAAATTTTATGCCTTTGCCTAATACTCATCTAATTGCTTTTAGGCACACTCAAAATTGCTTTAGCCAGCAATTGACATATTTAATGTCATAGCTCAATTCGTCTCAGTTCGTTAAAGCTTGAGTTCCGCTTGATTCGTTTTATAAACGAGTTGAACTTGAGTTCACTTAAAGCTCGTTTCAATAACAAGCAGAGCTCGTTTCGACTCGTTAAGGCTCGAAAAGATAATTTTTATATAATTATTTATAGTTTTGTTCGTTAAAGTTCGAGATCGGCTCGTTAATATTGATAACAATATGAGCTGAAGCTCTAACTTTTGGTCATTTAAAAGGAGTCGAGCAGAGCTCAATTTTAATAAAGTTCGGGCTCGACTCGTCTATACCATGCACTACCCAGGGACGGAGCTGTAGCATGCCCAGGGGGTCCACTGGTCCTTCCTAAAATATCAAAATAATCACGGGTATTTTACTAAATTCACAATAATACAAAAATAAAAATAAAAAATGAAAATACCTGGGTAGAATCAGATGGAAGCTGGAAGAATATGCCAAAAAAAAAACCCTTCAGATTTGAGAAACTGATTAAAAAAAACTATTGAGATTCGAGAATTTTATTTTTGATATGCGCTTAGATGAAAACTTCTCGAATATAACCCGTTAGAATATAACTTGTGAGTTGTCCCACATCGTACCACATCGTTTATACATGGAAAATAAGTATAACTTATAAGTCTAGTGGGCTAATCCTCCTTCCACCAATTGATTTTGGGATGGAACCTCACTTTAGTGTACCTAGGCTCACCCTCTTAATAATGGAGATCTTGCTCAAAATATGGTGTCAAGAAGAAAACATGATGTTTTTCCATTGGTTTACTTGTTGGTTTTACCAGTTGCCACTACTACAGTGGAAAAATCTTTTTCAACAATGAAAATCATCAAAAGTACACTACGTAACCGAATGGGCGATGAGAGTTTGAATGATTGTTTAGTGGCATACATCGAGAAAAATATATTTCAGAACGTTAAGAATGAGGCTATCATGCAATGATTTCAAAATATGAAAAATAGAAGAGAAATGTTGTGACATCTCAATATTATCGTAAGTTATTTTTTTGAATACTAAGATATATTTCTTATGTTTATTTAGTCGGTATTTGTACTGATTTATTTATTTTCAATTAATTTTTTCTTTTTGATTATTATTAGTTGGGCCTCCTTCCTTAAAATTCCTACATCCGACACTCCACAAAGAAATAAAGAAAGCTCGAACTCGATAAATGATAATACGTCGCTGATGATCCCTATTCCCTACTTGTACTTGAAATTTACTCCGTGTTTTAAGACACCTTGTTTGTTTGTCCATTTCTATTGAGGGCTCCACCGCGCATAGTTATTTAGCCACACTCGGATGTACTAAATAATATTGTTAAAAAATAAACTTGTGACTTCACAATTCACATGATTAAAGGCCATTAAGATTTCACCAATAAATATTGTTAAATTAAACTTGTAACTTCACAAGTCAAATGATTAAAGGCCATTAAGATTTCATAAATAAATAGCCATATTATATTGTAATAGCTGTTTTGATTAATTTATTATAATATAAGTCAGAATAATTAATGTTTGATAATTAATATCACTTTAAACAACTATTTTATAAACTTTACAACATAAAATTTTAATTTATTTTTTTAAATCCAGTCCTCTCAAATGCTAGATGCTCTACTGAGCTCTTGCATAATTATTCATTTTTAGATTAAAAATGTTCATCAAATAATTTCCTTTTACCAAATAACCTAATTAATAAGTTTGATGAGTGAGTTCAATCAGCTTATTTAATAAAACTATACTTTAATATGAAGTGCAATAAAAATTCGCTTCAATTTGTTTTGGTGTCAATTTAATACTAGTAATCAAGTCTGTGTACATGTATGTATAAAAATAAAATATTATATGACATAAAGCAAATAAATAATGTATTTAAAAAATTAATAGATCCAAACCAACTAAATGGTTGAAAAAAATTAAATTACTATTATCACATTGAAGTTATTTATGCAGTTTAAAGCTTTTGTTATTCCATTAAAACATTAACCAATTCAAAAGCTATTTCATGAGATAAAAATAAAATAATGATATTAATTTTAAAAAAACAAAAGAAAAAAAATTGCTATAATTTTTGTATAAGTGTATATTTTTCATAAATTTTTAGTATGAATTTATAATTGGTTAATATTAGTAGTAAAAATTATGTATAAATATGTTAAAAAATATTATTTCAATTAGTTAATACATTTTCACAATTAAATGAAAAAAAAGAATGGAAATGCCATTAATTTTTTTTCTCTCTTTCTCTCTATAGATAAATAAATAAAATAATAACAATATAAGTTGTAACGTCTTTTGAAAGAAAATCAAAATATTGTTATTATTGTCTTTACTAGCAATTATATATATAAATTTGAAAGTAACGAACATATAAATTTGTAATTGATGTCATATTTTTGCTATTAATAAATAATTAATTTCATCAAAAGTAGAATTTGTTCATGGGCGAAATTTACAATAGTTGGGCTGGGCCTAGAACTAACACGAGAGAAGCATCTATCAAGAGTCGTGAACTAGCCCGGCCCAACACATAAAGGGCCAATTCACCACTCGCTCGGAACCTAGAAAAAAGGCGACTGTTAACATCGCCGTGAGATCGAACTGTGATCGGAAAATGGCAGCTCTGAAGGAGCTACAGCGTGACCTTGAGAACAAGGCCAACGATCTCAACAAGCTACAGAAAGGTATTTAACCTCTTCAATGGCTTTTCTATTTCTGCTTTTCTTTTGGCTCATTGTTGAAACCCTAACACACAGTTACACACTCATTGTGCTTTTGGTGCTCGTTAGAACTTAGTTTTTATGTGTTTATGCTCAGATATATCGAAAAATCATCAAGTCAGAAAGAAATACACTATTCAGCTCGGCGAGAACGAGCTTGTCCTCAAGGTAGATTCTTGCTTCACATTTTCCTTTTCACTAATCCGAGTATAATAGGTTTTGTGGCCTTTTTTCGAGGTAGGTTGTTGATTTTCGTATAGAATATATGCTCGGTGATGGAATTTTATTTTTTATTTATTTATTTATTTTTTGTTATTGAGTTTTGGTTTATTGTTTTTCTTGAAGGAATTGGATCTGTTGAATGAGGATGCGAATGTGTACAAATTAATTGGTCCCGTGCTAGTGAAGCAGGACCTTGCAGAGGCGAATGCTAATGTTCGCAAGCGAATTGAATACATTTCAGCTGAATTGTATGTTCATTTCACTTACTGATCATTGTTTGTGGGTACACTGTGCTTTCTTTTTTCGCAAGCGAATTGGTTGCATTTCAGCTGAATTGTGTGTTCATTTCACTTACTGATCATTGTTTGTGGNAAGAAGAAAAGGCTTGCGTATGCTCGTTGATGTTTTATGTAGGTAGTTTGTTGCTTCTTCCTGTATCACTCTGATTAGTCGTTGCTTAAATGGTGTCTATGGAACTTATTTACACTCGATTGTTGATATATGCTCCTAACCCTAAGAAACAGGAATTACAGTAAGCACAAAGCGCGAAAACCAGAATGAGAACTTCGAATCTATTCTATTTGTGAGGATTGAAATCGATACTTAATGAAACTTTACATTGATTTTGCCCGATTTAAGGAGGGTGAACAGGAGGCACATGTGTGACTTGTACTGTCAAACGAAATTTGTTAACTGTTTTTGTTCAAACCTTGCAATATGATACTTTCTTTTTCCACCAGGAAGCGCTTAGATGGTACTCTTCAGGATTTAGAAGAAAAGCAAAACAGCAAAAAAGAAGCGGTTGGTAACTGCACCATAGAATTTAATTTCATTTATAGATGCTTTTTTTTTTTTTCAAACATTTTGTTTATAGACTCCAGAGTTGTATTTCTTACTGTTTTTAAAATTAATTTGATATAATTGTTGTAGTCTAATAGTAATCATCTCATAATCATTATTATTGTTCTTCTTGCTCTTGGTCTTGCTATTTCAATTATCATTTGAATTTTGGTTGGTGGGTGTCTTGTTTGAACTTTATCAAGAAACGCTATACTGTGATCTGGAGCTCCTTAGAAGTTTTTGCTGTCTTCAAGATTTTTGAATTCTATAATTGCATAAACTGAACCCAATTGCAAGTTCTTAATAACCATGAGTTATGTTCTCACATCATACACGTGTTTTGCGAAAAACTGTGATTAGTTACTTTGTTAGCTTGAAGCATAACTTAGTTTTTTTAAACCAAAATTCACTTATTTTAGATGACTTGAAATCCACTTTCATTTACACGACTGAAGTGTCCTTAGCCAAACCTAGTTTTGTTCCATTAGATGAACTTCCGCGTGACTATGCTTTCCAGTTTCATATAATGTTTTATTTTCTTTACAATAATTTTGGCAAAACAATTATTTATTTTTATTTTCTATTTTTTTTAACCATAAATGTATAATTGCTATGGCGCCTTACATATTTCCAAATTTCCTCTGTTAGATTTTCAAAGTACAACAGAGAATTCAGTCACTTCAGACTGGAAAAGGCAAGGCGTGAAATGCTTGAATCTGCAAACGAGCATCATTATCCGCTTGATTGGATTACAGATTTCCCCGTTGATAAACTCTTCATTTGTAGGTAACTAAGTAATGAAAATTCGTATCTCCATCCATGTAAGTTGTGAGAATCGTTATTTATCTTCACGTTTTACACATTATTGAAATTGTCTGTTTAAGTGAAAGAATATTGCCCCTCTGAATCCTCCCGTGATTCGTTTCGCACATTCTGTGGCCTTGCTTAAATAGAATTGTTTTAGCTGCTGGACCCATAAGCATTTTTAGTGCTGCTTGTTTTGACTTGAATCTAACTAAGAGGGAATAATCTAATACTAATTGTGCGGTTTTGAGGTCTAAAAAAATAATTAGATAAGCAGAAACATTAGAGAATATAAGGAAGCTTTAAGGTGAAGTTGTGGCTTTATGATAGGAAGGAATAAAACAGCAATAAGATGTTCTTCAGATCTGAAAGGAACATATTGTGACCACTGGCAGTAATGGCTGAATGCTGAATGCGCTTGGAGAGAGCGTAAATATTAATCAAATATTAGATTGGGAATTTATCTTTTTGTGAAAGGAGGAATATATTTGAGGTATTTATTAATCAAATATTAGATTGGGAATATTAGATTGCCATAGAAAGAAATGTGATTTGCTTACTTGTAATTTTCAGGTATTTATTTGAGTATTTTTGGTTGATAGATATAAAACATTCTTTCCCCATTTTTCAAGTGTTGAAGAGAATCAAATCATCAACGCCCACCGTATTAGTTCTGTTGCTTCTGACTTTGTGTATGTGTAAAAAATGGTTTTGAATGGGGTGGAAAACTTATATTGGCCCTCAAAAGAAAGTTGGTGGGGTTTATCATCATAAATATCAACGGATTCGAAAGTACCTTAATGGAGTTGTAATTTTTAGATTTTTTCAGAACTTTAACAATGGACTCCCAAAGGGCGTGATTAGATATGAATCCGATTATGATCCAATTTGGTTGGTTAAATTGAGTTATTTTGAATAAAGTTGATTGAGTTGATGATTTTGAGTTTGTAATTAAATAATATTTAAAATGTAACAATTAAAGTTGATGTAATGTAAAAGTATAAAAGAAATTATTGGAAGTGATACGTAGTTAAATTACGTGAGTATATGAATGCTGAATTAAAATGTTATGTGTAAGGATAATTGGTTACTATTATTTAATTATATTTATAAAAAGTAGGAGAATTGAGTTGAGTTGGATTTTAACTATGATGATTGGAAATAAAATAACTTGATCGGTCATAATCGATTAAAACCGGATATGATCCATCTCCAATCATGCCTAACCAAAAATCGACATGGGCACACACAAACACATACACACATGGGTGTGTGTAAAATCGGAGAAAATGATTCACAATAAGCAATTGGTCGAGAAAAATAATCCATAGTTTCTGCAACATTTGACATGAAAATCTCGTTATGTTCCATTAGTTAGAGTGCGTATTTAATTCTGAAACTTAAATCTTCCAAAAACGAGAAAAAAAAATCACTGCATTTAGTCAGCATATGAAATTTATACCACTTCAATTTACATAAAAAAAAATGATGTAACTATGGAAGACGACATATAATTGGACAATGATTGCTAATGATTTTTCTCCATTTAGTAAGCTGGGAACTGAGATTCCTCACTGCTTTGCTTGACAAAGACTTTTGCGTGCTATTTAATCTTTTCTCTTTATGCCTAATGAATAAAAAAGCTTGTTCAACTTACTAAAGAGTTTTAAGACGTTTTCTTTTCTAATTATCTTATGTTGTTGACGTCTGTTGATTTATTTTACGTTGACTTTGGGCCAATCTCGTAGTAACATGATATTTTTGCTAGGGATTAGTTTATTGGCTTTGAGGATTATGAATTGTATGTTTGAAGTTTTGAGCTAGTTCATTATGTTGAATCAGATAAAATAATGATTATGTGACGAATGCTTGCTCACTTCATATATTCTAATTAATAAGTTGTTGTTTGGAGACAATATATACGAGAAAGCAAATAATTATACTAATGCCCAGTTGCTACATTTAGCTCAGATTTCTGAAATAATATTGATTCATTTAATTGATCATATTAGTTGAAACCAGCAATACTTTATTTACTGTTACAAACTACTGTTACTGATAAAATTCTCTCATTGTTGATCTCTCATAGTGATTGAATTCAAATAATTTTTCATTTTAATTTGTTAGCCAATATTTATCTCATATA